GATAAAAGGCGTGATGTTATGATGTTAATTACCTAATTAATTTGTTTTCAAGTACCTAAATAATAGTATTTATATATATATAAGATTAACAGTATAACTTAATGGCGTAAGCTGAAGTGTTATATATCGGGACCTGATGGGTCGCCACGTTATCAGACGGGTCAGCCATCGTTAATTGTCCGTAAATACAATTATGTAGACACAGTAAAACACCTTATTAGTCTTTAGATTTAATTTAAGATTCAAAATAACAACGGATGGTACAGATACAGACGGATTATCAAGACGGAAAACGCGGCAAGTTCGATAGCACGTGGCAACGACCGTTGACGCTTGCGCTTCCAATTCGAATGCCCGTGACACTGTCCCCTCTCTACCGCAAGCCTCCACTGACGTTTTTAAAAGGTCAAACGTCATGTGTCAATCGGTAATCATACAACCAGTGTTGCCACGTGAATCGACCTTACCCAAGTGTAGTACTTGACGTTTCCGTTACAAATTATTTGGAAGAATAATAATCAAATAAACTGGTCACACTAATTGATTAACTGACGTCATGATGCAAGGTTCCGACACGGCCGTCCTGACATCTCACACGTCCTCGTGTGAGGTACCTATAACAAAAAGTTCACACAGTAAATGCGTCCACTCGCTCGGCCAACCTGACCAATGATAGGCGAAATCTCAACATAATCTTTATTAATCATCATCAGTAATCAATTTACAAATTTTGGTTATTTCGAAATTCAGATTTAAGAGATCTCAGTACTTTGAAACTTCTTAATGGCAATATTAAATATTCTCTTAAGAAGCGAACTTCAATTATCACAACAAGACAGAAAACTAATCTGTCTAACAGAACTTAATGTGGAACCAAATAAACATCAGAACAATCTCTTTCTAAAATCCATCAATGACTCAAGAACCTCCGTCTGGCGTCTGATAGTTTTATTACCCTTCAAGACAACCATCCCAGCGTCTGACAGGCATTCTCAAGACAACCATTCCGGCGTTCGACAGCCCTTAGAGACAACCAACGTGGCGTCCGACAGCCTTTCAAGACAACCATCCAGGCGTCTATTAGGCATTTAGGACAACCAACGCGGCGTCTGACAGCCATTCAAGACAACCATCCCGGCGTCTGACAGGCATTCAAGACAGCCAACGCGGCGACTAACACGCATTCAAAACCACCAACGCGGCGTCTGACAGCCATTCAAGACAACCATCCCGGCGTCTGACAGGCATTCAAGACAGCCAACGCGGCGACTAACAAGCATTCAAAACCACCAACGCGGCGTCTGACAGCCATTCAAGACAACCATCCCGGCGTCTGACAGGCATTCAAGACAGCCAACGCGGCGACTAACAAGCATTCAAAACCACCAACGCGGCGTCTGACAGCCATTCAAGACAACCATCCCGGCGTCTGACAGGCATTCAAGACAGCCAACGCGGCGACTAACAAGCATTCAAAACCACCAACGCGGCGTCTGACAGCCATTCAAGACAACCATCCCGGCGTCTGACAGGCATTCAAGACAGCCAACGCGGCGACTAACAAGCATTCAAAACCACCAACGCGGCGTCTGACAGCCATTCAAGACAACCATCCCGGCGTCTGACAGGCATTCAAGACAGCCAACGCGGCGACTAACAAGCATTCAAAACCACCAACGCGGCGTCTGACAGCCATTCAAGACAACCATCCCGGCGTCTGACAGGCCTCCAAGACAACCAACGCGTCATATAGACAACTAAAGCGTCATATAGACAACCAAAGCGTCATAGAGACAACCAAAGCGTCATATAGACAACTAAGGCGTCAAACAGACAACTAAGGCGTCAAACAGACAACTAAGGCGTCAAACAGACAACTAATAAGCAGGATACAGGGTAGACATCCTGATCTAAATATAGTAGAAACATCTTGTCAATCGAGCTATGCTATGTCAGAAACAGATCCAACATCATCTTCATCATCATTGACATCATCATTAACAGTGACTGGACATTCAGGCATTTTTCTTACACGGTCATGGGCATATTTGTAAACCCTATTATTACTTAAAGATTTCAACAAATGTCTATCACCATCTAATATTTCCACAATTGTAAAGGGACCTTTAAATTTAGGATCTAATTTAGTTTGGTTACGTTCCTCATTAGCAATGAGCACAAAGTCTCCAACTTGGAACCTTTTCAAAACAGCTTTAGTCTTATCAAAACGAATTTTATCATATTCAGCATTTTTAGTTATACCCAGGGCCGCTTGTTCTCTTATATGACATCTTGTTTCAACAGCAGTAAGAATACCTTTTAAAGTTCTCATTATTCGTTCAACTTGACCATTAGCTCTACATGAACCAGTGGCTATTAAGTGCAAGGCAATATTATGGGAATCGCAGAAATCTTTAAAGCATTTACTGGCAAAACAACGACCTTGATCAGCTACGACGCGATGAGGTGCTCAAAATAAAGATACGCTAGACTTTAGGGCTTTGATGCAATTAGACGCGATATACATTTTAGACACTATAGAAACGAAATAACTAGTCGTCTCGTTACTCCGCGGTTTTCTCGTAGACAAAACCCGACCTGGTTACACCTTGAATGACCACCTAACAGCCTATCCAAGGACTACATTGTACTTAACGGAAGCATGTCTCATGTCAAGGTAACTTTTAATCAAAACTAAAATGATCAACCGTCAATATCAAGATTCTCAAGGTAACCACAATGTGGACCGACACTAAGTGTGGATAGTCACTTGCAAGGATTTCCAAGTCATTACAAGTCAATCACGACTGCAGTTTATAATAAGGTTTAGAGCCCTGCCGCAATAACGCACACGATGCCGTAAAATAAATCAGAATGTTTGATCCTCAGAATAGACACCCACGTTTGAACGAGATTCACACAGCTGAACAACATGCTCTTTTACGAAAACCAGTCTTTCAGCAGACATGTGAATCGCTATGCCTTGTTTTAGAACTTCACGTCCTACCATAATGTCATGACGTAAGCAATAGTCAGGTAAAACATGGAAAAGAATTTCTAAATTTATGTCATCAATGATAACGACCGATAGTATCAGTATAGTAGAGTGCACAGAGGTTTGACCTATACCTATCATAGTTACAGTATTGTTAATTCTTTTACCACTAAGTTTAGTAGCAACCGACTCCTTAATCAATGAGCACTCTGCACCAGAATCATAATAAAATGAAAACTGCTCACCACTATGACGTAGCCATCCAACAGGCGTACTAACAGAGCACAGGTCGACACGTTTCTGCTTGGCTGCATCAGATCCGGCCTCGCTGCTGCTCCCCTGGCTGCGTTGCTTAGTGCAGTTTGACGCATGGTGGCCCTGGCCTTGGCAACGAAAGCAGGTGATCGCAGGCTTCGTGGCAGATGACTGCGGCTTCGAGGAGTAGTTCTTGGCTTGCTGAGAACTCGAACGGTCATCTGGTCTTCTCATATCTCGTAACTGTAAACTTGTGACCCAACTTCCCACAGTAAAAACACTTTAATGGAGTAGAAGTGTGGCCGGCGCGTGTCTTCTTCGGATCCACCATGTCATAATCACTACCAGCTTTTCGTTTGAGGAACGAGACAGCCTTGAGCTCTTGTTGTAGCTGATTGCGGGTAGTTACTTCGGTCGTAAATGATAGTCGCTGAACACGTCTATCGAAGCGGGAAACATGTGCCAAAACTGTAGCGATAGCAAGCTGTTCAGTCGTCAAATCTTTCCATCTTGACATGATGGAAGTCATTAACGAGGCGGCGTAGGTAGCTAAGCATTCGTTTTCCTTGGGCTTACGTTCATTCAAATTTATCAAAAACGAGGCATCAGTTTCAGGACAATCGTACCTTTGAATGAATAGCTCCTTGAAGTTGCTCCAAGTCATTCCCGGAAACGACACTGTTGACAGCCACGTGGAGGCTTGGCTGGCCCTTCAAGGCACGGCTCAAAGCAACCATTAACTGCGTACCCTGGCGATATTCATCGTTAATACACAGGCTAGCGGTTGAAATCCATGCACGTGCATCCACATCCGATTTATCGGGGTCAAAATCGGGTAATCGCAACTCCATAGGTAACGATGGCGTCTTGATGGCACGAACAAGCATCTCAAAGTTCTTATTCTGCTGCATTAGTAGTTGCTGCCACTTTTCATCACTATTCACATCAGTGAAATCACTATTACGAGCACGTGGGCTGGCGTTTTCTAATCCCAATTCTGATATCGGGACCTGATGGGTCGCCACGTTATCAGACGGGTCAGCCATCGTTAATTGTCCGTAAATACAATTATGTAGACACAGTAAAACACCTTATTAGTCTTTAGATTTAATTTAAGATTCAAAATAACAACGGATGGTACAGATACAGACGGATTATCAAGACGGAAAACGCGGCAAGTTCGATAGCACGTGGCAACGACCGTTGACGCTTGCGCTTCCAATTCGAATGCCCGTGACACTGTCCCCTCTCTACCGCAAGCCTCCACTGACGTTTTTAAAAGGTCAAACGTCATGTGTCAATCGGTAATCATACAACCAGTGTTGCCACGTGAATCGACCTTACCCAAGTGTAGTACTTGACGTTTCCGTTACAAATTATTTGGAAGAATAATAATCAAATAAACTGGTCACACTAATTGATTAACTGACGTCATGATGCAAGGTTCCGACATATATATGTAAATTTTCTAAATAAATAATACTTCTGATAGACACACAGGTACATAAGACAAATAATTATACTCAATTTTAGTTAGTTTTTATATGTATTCTCCGGCTGTAACAAATATCGTCAGAAGCGGTTCAATACCTAAGCTATTATTATTGTGAAACTAACGATTCACACAGCTCCTACCCCGTAGGTAATAGCATGATAATATATAGCGTATACATGTTACCAACCTGTTAGTAATATTCATGCAAAAGTTTAAGTAATTCCATGCAGCACTTTTTGAATTTAGCCCGGACATACATACAGACAAACAGACAAAAATTATGAAAACCATATTTTTGGCTTCGATATCGACGGTAGATTACGGGTCTTTACTTTCCTACGATTTTATTAATGTATAGACAGATGAATTTAATTTCGTGGTTTCTATAATAAACAGTCTCACTGGTCCCAGTCCCGACAGTCCCGTGGCTTATGCGCATTTTTTTTTTGAGTGGTAAAGTCATTCAATGACTTCTCCCGCCTGGGTGAGGCGGGAGGGAGTGTCAGACTCTTACTGACTAAAAACCACCCCGTTCCCACTCCTGCACTTCAAGCCGGAGCCCCGGGAACCCGTTAAGTCCTCCGCGGCCCCGGTAAGGCATCAGTCCTATTGAGCCCCATCTGTGGTGGTCTGATCGCTATTTGAAGCGCGCGGGGAACGCGACGCGCCGTACCCTCGGAGGTTTTTGCGCATAGTTCCGCGAGATTTCGCGGTCGAAAACTCTCAGATGTCCTTTTCCGGGTCCTATCCTTATCCTATTGAATCAAATTCATATTTAAGCGAACATCTTTATCATAGTAGTAGCTCTAATCTTAGCATTGATAAAGTTTCCTACAAACTTTCACCCCCTATTTCATCCCTTTGGGGGTAGATTTTAGTTAAATCAGTTCAAAAGTGTGAAAATAGTGCTATATTATTCCTGTTAATTTGTTGACGGTGACCATACACAACGCATATTTCTACATTTACTTGTCAGAAATATTGTTTTAAAATTATTTATAAACGATTTCAAGGTTTCCATGATTCCATTTCCTTTTTTTTTAATGCTTATGACAGATTTTCATGACCAATTTCCTCTCAGTTGAAAACCCGCAAAATACTTTACTGAGCCCTTTCATGAAATGCTATGTTTGTCAGCTGCGGCGTCGGTAGCGGATTGAGTAGCAGCAGTCATCAAAACACGAAAAAATCCTTTTTTCTTTCTACTTCTCCCGATTTACTCCCGAGTAGTAACTAATCTAACTACAGTTAATACTCTAATCTACAGCTAGCATAAGATTCTGTACAAAGATATCGTCATTCAGTCACAAAGTGATGGATTATATTTCGACTGATCACATTATATGAAAACATTTTGCGCTCATCTGAGGTGTAGTCTATCACTTTAAAAAGTCAACGGTTTCCTTTCTCAAAAAAATTATGCTAACTATAAAGTAGAAGAGTCCCATCAGGAGTACGGCAAAAAAAACGTAATTTACTAGATATTTGGACGGCTACCACTACTCAACCCACCACTGGTACCACAGCTGACGCTCATGAAGCTTCATGACACAACTCCTAGAAGCATCACACAAGTGAATATTGACTGAGAGAAAATAGGTAATAAAAATTAGTGCCTGGCATACCATCCACATTGTGGTGAGATATGGTGTTCCTGTGCCAGGCGTTATTTAGATTTTTAGGTTTTTATGAAAAAATCCCAGATTAAATCATTTGAAGCCAATTTAAAAATGATTTACAGCGCGACTGGGCAATTAAAAATTCAAAAATGCCAAAAACTTTGGCAAATATCACTGAAGAAACATTATTTTTTTGTGATTTTCGCTATTACTTCATACAAAATGTAGTCTAGTGAAAAAAAAATTGATGAAAAACGCCTGATGTACAAGTTGTTAGAAAAATATCCTTGTCTTATCAGCTATCAAAGAAGGTATGATTGTCAATACTTTTGCATGTGTAACAGGGAAGGGAGAAGTTTTATGAAGAGCAGGTACCTTACAGAATAGACACTTTTTAAGATTTAACAATATTTTTGGGTTATTTTGATCTTCATTCTGTTAAATAGAGCCTAGTCTAGAGCGATCAATATGTTAAAACGGTCAACCTATTGTTTCATATTCGTATTATTCGTAGTTCTTACCTGCGCTTCAACTAATAATAAGTATAATAACAATCCCACATGACGAGAATCTAGTGAAAGGTGAAAGAGATAAAGCAAGTAAATATCTTGATTTAGCTCATGAGATTGTCGACATGTGGGATGTGGATTCAGCAGTCATTGTGCCGATAGTCGTATCTGCCAATGGCCTCATTGCTAAAAGCCTCGACCAACATCTGAGTAGGCTAGCGTTAGATGGTTGGGTCAAGGGCCTGATGCAGAAAGCAGTACTTCTGGACACGGCGCGTATTGTTCGGAAATTTCTTTCTCTGGAGCCCTGACCACCGGTAGCTTGGATTTCTCCCGTTACCGGTGGGCTACTGCTTTTTATATTTTTAAATGTTTTTTTTTTTTACATATAATGAAATATTTAAAAATATTTAAATCAAGTATGAAAATAAATAAAGGGAGTATAATAAGTAGGTTTCTGAGGTTTTGACTGACCGAGGAAAAAGCTAAGAATTGGGTATCGTGTCCCCAGGTGGTGACCCTCTGGTACCGGCCGCCCGAGGTGCTGCTGGGCGCGCGCTACAACACGGCGGTGGACGTGTGGTCGGCCGCCTGCGTGCTGGCGCAGCTGCACACCAGGAAGCCACTGCTGCCCGGCGCCTCCGACTCCGACCAGCTGCATTGTATATTCAGGTCTTGTTGAGTGGCTCGTCAACCCATTCATTCATTATAAATATAAATACTTTGTTTCACTTACATGCTGACATACAATATTTTTTTTTTATGCACGAGCAGACGGATCGCCTGATGGTAAGCAATCGGCGTCGCTCATGGACACCTGGAACACCAGAGGCGTTACAAGTGCGTCACCGGCTTTTTGGGGATTAGGAGTTTGAGGATCGTTGGGGATTCAGGGATTGGGGAGATTGGGGAAAGAGAAGGTAATTGGGCTTCCGGTAACCTCACTCACACGACGAAACACAACGCAAACGTTGCTTCACGTCGGTTTTCTGCTCGGCCGTGGTATCACTCCGGTCGAGCCGGCTCATTCGTGCCGAAGCATGGCTCTGCCTACACTTAATAATACAGATGTAATACAAAAAAGACAAATTATTATTATTAATGAATGGCATCCAAACATCCAATCATTTACTTGAGACAGTAGAGTGCGAAGTTTGTCATTAATGTTTAGGTATATTGTTTGTTTTACATTCGGTGAGTTAGGATATGTCGTCTGCGAACAATTGGCTATGTGCGCGACGGTGGCGACGCGTAGCGTTTACAACATTTGCGGAAGCTGTCAAATAAACATTATAATTTTTTTGCAAATATAAATAAAACCAAAGAATCAAATAGTATTGTTGACATTATTTAAGTGCAAATTATTCAATAGTTTTACTGTAAAATGAATATAATAATAAAAACCGGGTTTGCATCATCCGCATTTGTTTCCAATTTCTGCCGTGTTGTGCGCTGCGGTCGTTATCTGTCCGCCACTACTCGCTTTGCACATAGCCAATACGCAAGGTCTGGTAATGGATTTTGGTAGGTCATTTATGTACGCTTTAACGCTTCCTCGAGGAATAGATCCTACTATTTGTTTATCGCACGATCTTACTCTTTTTGATCTGGTTTCACAAATAAATCGATAAACACATCTATTTTAATGTATTTGTGACTTTACAGTGCATTTTTTACTTTCTTTAAATTCCTATTAATTTCCTTACAGATTAATAGGCAGACCATCCCGGTCAGAATGGCCGGATAATGTCTCCATCATGCTGGACAGCTTCCCGGAGTACCAGCCACAGGACCTCGCTGAAATCTTACCTAGGATACATTTCCAAGCGCTAGAATTAATTAAGGTGACCATTTTTCAAGTTACGTTCTAATATTGAACTGATCCTCCGTTATCGGTGGAGCATACGGTGGCGGTGTGTCCTGCGTGGGCTGAGCACCGCCGTGTCCTCAGGGAAGTGATCGACGATGGCGACCTCTCGCGTCCGGGCCTAGTGCAGGCCATGATGCGGAGCGAGGGGGACTGGGATGCCGTCTCCTCCTTTTGCGAAGCAGTCATGCTAGCTAAGGAGGACGCGGGACGCGTAGGGGAGCGCGTGTTTCGCGCGCGCTTCAAACAGCCATCAGACCACCCCGGATGGGGCCCAGTAGGGCTGATGCCGATACGAAGCCGTGGTAGACCTTAACGGGTTGCCGGGGCCCGGCTCAGAGAACAGGAGTAGGAACGGAGTGGTTTTTAGTCAGTAAGAGTCTGACACTCCCTCCCGCCTAACCCAAAGCGGGAGCAGTCATAGAATGACTTTCCGCCCTCAAAACAAAAAAAAATACTGTGTTCATGGAAAATACGTTAATTTTTTTCTTCAATGGGTATACAGAATTCCATCCCTATCATATAGATGGTTGGCAGACCACAACTGTGCGGTTCTCTCGTAGCTTCCTGCCTCCCACAGCAATACTGTGGAATAATCAGTCGTCGGCGGTATTTCCGAACCGATACGACCTTCAAACCTTCAAGAAAGAGCGTATTCGTATCTACTATAAATTCGTATGCGCATTCGAAGTTTGCTTTTTGCAATGGTTCACCAGTTATTTATTATTTTAAACATTATATTTGTTTGTAAAACTATTGTATTACCGAGACAGAACCATTTTATTTCGCCAGAAGAAGCCAGAAATAGTAATTCATTATTTAATTATCTTTTCCAGGGTATGTTAGTATTCGACCCGGCCAAACGACTCACGGCGCTGGACTGCCTGGAGCACCCATACTTCACTGACGAACCCTTGATGTGAGCCTAGCGTTAGTAAAATATGAGATAAACCCACCTAAAAACTACATGTATGTATGAAATTATTGTGTTATTCATTTATAGCTAATCTGTAAGATTGTTTTAGTTATAGAATCGATTAGTTATTTATAAAAAAACCTAATTTTTGCTTTAACAAAATGATTTAAATTGTACCCAATGTAAATAGACTAATGCCCGTTTTCATCGATCTATAAGATACCCCTAAATAGTAAGGGTGCGTCCACATCCGAGGAATGTGCAGCTCGGTAGCCGCGTGCATTTAAAATTATTATTTATACTCTTGAGCCGTGACTGCACGCGCGCAGCTCGCAATAGGCTCGCCAGTCCCATGTAATAGGGGTTGATCCTATTGCCATATACCGGGCACATTTCCAGACTCCGTGCTATTACTGAGATTTTTTTCAAATTACGGAGCAATACTTTGGTCGACCCGGGAATCAAACCCGGACTCTTTGCCGACCACTCGGTCAATGAGGCAGTACTAAGCTTCCTTCTGCGTACTGCTAACGAGTGGAATTCTTTGCCAGAGTCTGTGTTTCCTGAAGGGTATAACCTGGGTGTCTTCAAGGCCCGAGTGAATAGGTTGCTTATGGGACGACGTGCTCCATCGTAGACCACATCATCGTGCACCACCAGGCGAGATAGTGGGCAAACGTCGGCCCAACAAATATTTATATAAAAACCCAATCTATAACCAAAACAACCTTATTGATTTATAATAAATAACACTTGTTTTTTACATTATGTAAACATAGTATTCATATTCAAGATAAATTTTCATTCATTTACTCGAATTTTTTAAACATTTTGTATATTAATTTTAATATACGGCTTACTCGACCAGTTTCGAGTCACGTCGGGACCCATAGAATAGATCAGTGTACGTCACGCAGCGAACTGAGTAAACCGTATATTTCATTTTAGTTTGTCTCCCAATATTTTGTATTTGAAGTACATAGGATTACAAAAATATAAGAATTTGTGTAATTATTGTGAAATTGAATCAAAGGTTTCATTAGGCAATTTCGACTTTAATTCCTAGGCATTAAGATTGGATTTCATTAATTGTTATTCTTGGAATTCAATTTAAAGTTAAATCTACCTTGTTACTTTATATTAAGGTTCCTATTTGTAAATCTAACTGGTTTTTGCATTTAATTTTTAGAACCGATTTTAGTCTAGATAGATATTAGGAACTTAAAAAACAATTTCTGCAACGTGTTAATAAATTGTCATTTACTAAATGAAACCGTATGTGCCTGGGCATAAAACATAGTTTCGATTGAAACTTCGATATTTTAATAAACTTATACAAGTTTACTCGAAAATCAGCTTTAGCTATAAACAATACAGTTGATATTTAATTGTATGGTATTATGGTGCATTTTTTAATAATGTTTTGTCTGTAAAAATCCTAGATACTTATTCCATATTTGAAATTTTCATCATCAACAGCCTATAAGTGGCCACTGCTGAGCAAAGCCTCTTCTCACACGGAGAAGGTTTGAGCATTAATCGCCACGCTTGCTCAATCCAGGTTGGCGATTTTAAACTTATAATTAGAAATTATAAGTCCAGGTTTCCTCACGATGTTTTCCTTCACCGTTTGTCAGTGGTGTCTGATTAATCTTAGAAAGTACAGTCAGCTGTTATTAACAGTGATCGGAAAAAGCTGAGCTAATTTACTTTGTTTTCAACAATAGATATTTTAAGATGTAAGAAAGAGCATTAAATAAAATTATTCAACACCAAAATTAACAAAAAGCTAAAATCGTGACAAATGTTGCGGTTTCTTTCTAGCTTCAATAATAAGAATAATTTTATTTTATGCTCTTTATATATTTATTGTTGAATACAATTAAAGTTTTAATTTTGTTTCATTTTGTGTTAAATTTAAGAAATAAAATCACGAAACGAAATCAATTGTATTCTGTATTAATAACAATTATATTAAATGTAATATATAAATATCCCGAAACTGGAACCGGAACTTTCCCGAAACAAAATGTTGTAGTATGTAAGTCTCCACTTTTGTCTTTGTTCCTTGAAGTTTAGGTAAATTAGCTCACCTTTTTTCGATCACTGGTTATTAAGTACGTAGGTAAGAATACAAAGATTGGTTCAGTACAGAGACAGTAGCCATTGGTTGTCTAGAGCCGACTGAGTTACAAGACATGGCTTCGTTACAAAGCGTACAATTTAGTACAACAATGGCTACTGTCTCTGTACTGAATCTATCTTTATTTATCTTATTACACATACTAAATAACTGGCGCATAAATATACTAGATTTCAACCAGGTTTTTGCGGTAATGCGTAGCAGACATACAAGCATTTTATAATATTACTAGCGGACCCGAGAGACGTTGTCCTGTTATAATAGGTATAGATAAATAACCTACAAACCGACTGCAGCGCCATCTGCCGGGCTGATTTGTGAATCTAAACCGTTCCCAGATCCCCTTAAATACACACAAAACATTTCATCAAAATCGGTCCAGTCGTTTGAGAGAAGTTCAGTGACATACACACTCACAGAAGAATTATATATATAAAGATATTATTAGGGATTGTGCATCTAGGACTTTTTGTTTTGTTTTTTAAAATAGCTATTATTGTAATATTAATATAGGTGCCTTTTTACAGTAATTGTGTTTATTATAAATTATTAAAATTAATAATAATAAAATGGTTCTCATAATGTCTTTAAGAATATTTTTAGATGTTTTTTACTATCATTAAGTAAGATATAAGTACCTACACTAAGTATTATTTAAGTGATTTTTTCGAAAAAAGTACATTTTTTACAATTGAATTGTTTGTGGCCAAATAAAATTGTTTTTTTTTTGATGATTTTTGGATTTTTATTTTTACCCGGAACACGAACCTTAGATCTGAAGCGGGCAAACCGGTTGTATTAAAAAAACGTTGCCCCACACTAGGATTGTCTCCTGTGTCGTGTGTGCGTTTACAAACATACAAGCTCACATACACATCACACCTAGACCTGACGACTTACTCTTGAATCCAATTCCGATCGATCGACATTAGTATTGTAGAATTTCGTATCTTGAGTCCACACTAGCGCCCATTGCATCCGTATTGCGTGGATATTGAATGAACTAAATGGTATTGAGTTTAGCTTTATATTCCGTACTCTAAATGCTATCAGCTACGATAGGGGTTGTATAGTGTTGACATTGAATAATTATTCAGATTTTATTGGATTGTAATTAAATTGAGATTAGTTTCAAGAGTAAGAAATTCAATGTGGAACAACAATTTGTGGATCACACAAGATGTCTATTGCAGGTTTTTTTTACGGGATAGGTCGGTAAACGAGCAGACGGATCACCTGATTGTAAGCAATCGGCGTGTGTCCCTTCGTCCAGCATACTCACCATGGAATCCTGATATTTCATGAATGTCAAAAAACTGTTCTAAAATAGTGCTTAATAGTGCCCAAAGGAAAAAAATAGTGCTCTTGTACTTGCGAAGTTATAGCCATAGTTCGATGAGTATGCTGGACGAAGGTTTCGCCCAGCATACTCACCTCCGTCCGGAGAATCTGTATACGCTTCAAACATAATTCATACTTCAAAAAATAGTTCCCAAATAGTGCCAAACGGTGCCCAAAAAGAAAAAACAGTGCTCGAATAACTTCGGAGTTATAGGCTTCGTTCAGTGAGTATGCTGGGCGTAGGTTCTACGCCCAGCATACTCACCTCAGTGCGCGAATATCGAACGAGCTATAGGTACAATTTACGTCTCAAAAAATTGTGCTTGAAATAGTGCCCAATATCAGTCCAATTTTTGCTTGACTTTTGACTTAGAAAACCATTAAATTTTAATGTAAACTTCTACATACTAACGTAAAATGGGGTACAGTCGTCGACACATGTTTTTGGACAAAAATATTAAACTTTCTAATTGTAGACTTCATGTTATTGGAAATAATTATGGTATTTTCTCACATGTCAAAAACTTTCGATTAAATGCATTATTATATATTTTATAAATAATAATAAATGAATGAAACTTTAAGCGTAAATGAAGTCTATTACTTCATTGCATTGTGTGTTTGTCTGAATAAAAACAGTCATTTGCAGCCAATAAAATTAATATCTTGAAAAATTGTAAAAAGGAAATTATACAGTTTCTTTTTGTATATATGTTGCAGGCAAAACTTATAACCAGTCAAAACTAGTACTGTGACATAGTTATACAAATTTTTAAAACTCTTTCCAATAGTTTCATCAATGAAAGGTTTAGCAATAAAAAACATTTTTAATTACTTACGTTATTTATTACTATTTAAAGGGCCAAAGTAATCAGAATTCTAGTTAACTAATTGACCGTACGTGCATCCATTACTGCCACACTATATTGAACTTTATCACATGAGGAATACAGGTCAATTCCGTAAACGTTGTGGTACCGTCCTTGATCCGGAAAATGATTATTTTGAATAATTTTGTCAGTTGTAATGTAAGCATTAATAACAGCAACTTTATTTTTCATGCATGATTTACTTCATTTGATATCTTAATCCTTCAAGCGCCGTGATCTAGACAAAATATATAAAATCATTGTTCCTAGCTACCGGGGTCCCATGCGACGCGCGAAGGCTTAATCATATTATTATAAAGTATTATTAAAATAATGTGTAATTAATAATATTGCGATTCTAAAGTAAATACTCCCTTACATAGACAATTAATAATTTACACAAGACAAAAATTGTTAGAAAGAAAGTTAATAATATTGTATTCGACTGTACTCAATGTAATGTATGTAGAAGTTTACAATCAAATTTAATGGTTTTCTAGGTCAAAAGTCAAGCAAAAATTGGACTGATATTGGGCACTATTTCAAGCACAATTTTTTGAGACGTAAATTGTACCTATAGCTCGTTCGATATTCGCGCACTGAGGTGAGTATGCTGGGCGTAGAACCTACGCCCAGCATACTCACTGAACGAAGCCTATAACTCCGAAGTTATTCGAGCACTGTTTTTTCTTTTTGGGCACCGTTTGGCACTATTTGGGAACTATTTTTTGAAGTATGAATTATGTTTGAAGCGTATACAGATTCTCCGGACGGAGGTGAGTATGCTGGGCGAAACCTTCGTCCAGCATACTCATCGAACTATGGCTATAACTTCGCAAGTACAAGAGCACTATTTTTTTCCTTTGGGCACTATTTAGCACTATTTCAGAACAGTTTTTTGACATTCATGAAATATCAGGATTCCATGGTGAGTATGCTGGACGAAGGGACACATCGGCGTCGCCCATTGACACCCGGAACACATG